CCGGCCTTCTTCAGCGGGTCCAGCTCCGAGGCCGACTGCTCCAGCTTGATGGCTTTGTTCGGCGTGACGACGTAGACCAGCTGCGACTTCGTCTCGAACTTCTCCCTCAGCAGCGAGAACTTCCGCTTCGGGTAGTTCATCGGTCTCTTGCGCTTGTCGGGATCGGCTTTCTCCGCGTCGACGTTCGACTCCGCCGGTCCCATCGAAAGCGCGTCCACGCTGCCGGCTTTGCAGGTCTCCGCGGTCTCGCAGGCCCCTGGGAAATTATGTACAACTTGAACGTTCTGCGCGACCGGCACCAGAGGACTCATCTCGACGTACAGGTCGTTCTCCTTCGAGTCCTGCGCCTTCTGCGTCTTCGCCTTGCCGCCGAGGATCGGCGAGTCGGAGAGTATCGCGTCTATTAACGGAGTCTTCTTGATCGACTCGATCGCGCAGTACTTCACCAGGTCCCTGATGGTGTCTATCTCGCACCTGCCCCGCACGATCGAGTCCGGCTCGTCTAGTCGGTTCAGGTAGTTCCGGTTGCAGGTGGCCGGGTCCTTCAGGTCGTTCTTGAACAACGCTCTGGTCAGCTGCGCCTTCTTTATCAGGTTCTTCGGGTCGAAGTCCTCCCACTGCGAGCCGGTCGTGTGGTACACGTGCCTCGGCGAGTTCTCCGCCGTGTACCGTCTTATCTGGTCTATCGTGCTCACCAGGGTGCTCACCGAATCGCGAGTGGGCCTGGAGTGGTCGAACTTATCCTCGTCGTGCTCCTCTAGGATAGTGTCCAGCGCGAACATGCCGCCCTTCTCGTCTATCACGACCGGCTTCGCGATGTACACAGTGGCGTTCTGCTCCTCCACCTCGGCGGACCTCTTCCCGGACGAGGAGTCCTCGTTGCGAGCCGCCCTTAATTCGCGGGGGTCGATCAGGTCGTACGCGAGCGTGTCCAGGTAGTCGTCCTGCTTCAGGATGCCTCTGAGTATCGAGCTGACGCAGGTGATGTCGGAGAACTCGGAGCTGTACGTGGTGCCCGTGGTGGTGCTGGTCAACGTGTCCCTCCGTCTGTCCCTCACCACGCTGTCGTCGTGGATGTAGGTCTCTATGTCGGTGTACCCCTTCCAGCTGCGGATGCACCACGGCGGTCTGGCGACCCCCAGCGGGCAGACGTTCTCGTAGTCGTGTATGGAGGTGACGCAGCTCATCGTCTCGTCCCTCTGCTGCAGGTCCTTCGTCAGCTTCTCGGTCTCCGAGATCTTCTCGCGGGCGTCGTCGAAGATCGGCGGCGTCTTCAGCCTGTCCCTCATCGAGACGCCGTTGTCGTGGTCGTCGCCGAGGTCGTCCTTGTCGTCGTGCGCGTCCTTGCGCGCCTCGCCGACGGAACGACCCTCCGGATCCTGGCGAGCGCCGTTCATGTCCGACAGCTTCTTGTCGACCTTCTCGTTCACGTCGTTCTCCATCTCGAGGATCAGCTGGTTCGAGAAGCAGATCCCTCGCCTCTTACGCGACGAGCCCGACAGACTCGACGGCTCGTCCTTCGCGGTGACCTCCTCGTCTATGTCGAGGCCGTGGCTGGTCGGCAAACAGATGCCCCTGCGCTTCTGACGGTGAATGTCCTTCTCGGCGGCGTCGTTGCAATCGTTCTGCATCTTGAACTCCCGAGCGGCGACGGCGGCGTCCGGGGGGTGGAACGAGGAGGGTTTCGGTAACGTGCCCGACGTCCCGCCGCTGCCCTCGTCCTTCGGGAGAATCTCGTTATGCGCCGACTCGCATTCGGAAACGACGCGCATGGCGGCAGTCTTCGATTCGCTCGCGACTTTGCAGCTCTGGTTGATGATACCGGTCTCCGCGCAGTCCGAGCTCTGCACGATGTTCGTCAGTAGCGACTGCTTGTCCGTGGTCACCTCCTCGGACACGGCCTCCTGGGAACGACCGACGGAACATGGGGAGTTCGAGTAATACTGTTTGAACGATCTAGGCGTGCCCACCGTCTTGGTTACCGTCTCCGCCTGTTTCTCGCCGCCGCCTTTCGACGCGCCGCCGATGATCTTCGACGGATGATACTTGCCGTAGTACAGCAGCATATTCGAGAGGCCGATCATCATACCGCCGGCCACGACGCTCGCCACCGTCGCTATCTCCTTCGTTTTGATCGTGTCTTTGAAACAGAACACGTAAACCACCAGGAACACTGTATTCTCTATCGTGACGATCAGATAGAAGATAAGCATCCTGTAACGGGACTTGCCAACCCGTAGATTGAAGAAATCGAAGCAATAAATTAATCCTATGATACAATTATAAATACGCTCCTCCCATATGGTCGGGCAGAAGTCCGTGTTCTGTAAGATCACCCATACGGTCATAAATAGCCAATGGAGTCCTGTAACAGTTAGAAGAGGATGATGCACACCGTGCGAAACGCATAAGTCTATTTCCAGAGGTTGTTTTTGCGCCGGCTTAAGCCGGTACACTCACCGAGAAACAGTAAAAACCATTCTCTTAAGCAGAGCGCCGTTAACACCAGAACGATGATTCTGGATATTAGCATTCCGGCACGCCAGAATCCCTGAAGAGCCAACGCCACCCATGTCGCCTCGTGGTCGGGATTTATTTTGTGCATTGCTTTTATATATGTACCTATAGCCCAGCTCAGTGAACAAAACGACACCACGGCTGACAGACCTGTTCAATTGTTTATTTTAAGGGTACATTAATCGTAGTGTATGCTCTTCTGTGTGGCCAGGTACTATAAACGCTTCTTAGATTTTCATAGAATTCAGAAGTATAATGTATCTGTACTTAGTCAAACAGTTTTTTTGGTCTGTAGCGGTGGCAGTAAAAAGTTATTCTATTTTTAGCCCTTCGAAACACCCACACTACTCGAGAAAGAAAATATTATTTTTAAAGTTACTGTACCATGTGCTTGCCCGATAGAATATCTACTCAGTAGCCATGCCATATGGTTCTAAACCGGAGGTGTAGAGTCCTCCATGGGAAGATAGAAACTGTCCATATTATCTTTGTTCCTGTCTCTGTTATCTATGGGGGCGGGTCAAAGGAAGTGAAAGTATGCAGCCTCCAAACTATAGTATTCTTTTAAAATCTTCGAGTCGCACTACCTCC